TATATATATATATATATATATATATATATATATATATATATCCATTTTCATAACAAATAACCACGTGTATACTATTACATAACCAACATCATATTATATTGTTGAATGTTTACATCAATTCACCTTACCATCAACTCCCAAAAAACAATTATTGGCTCTTCTGCTCTCCATACACCATATTTGTACCTTATCCATCACTTTCTTCTCCCCCTCTCCTCCTCTTACCTACTTCCTTTCTTCCCTCTGTCCCCCTTCTCTTCTCTACTTCCCCTTCCTCTCTCCTTCTCCTCTGTCCCCTTTCCACTCCTTCTTTCTCTCCTCCTCTTCCCCCTCCCACCCTCTCTCTCCTGTCCCTCTCTTCTTCCCTTACCTCTCTCCTCTACTTCGCACTCTTCCTCTCATTTACTTGGTGTATTTCAGCCTCTGAGCAAGCTCCATTTTATGTTGATGGTATTTATAATTCCTTTTCAATATACATCTTTAATTTTAACATACATCTTCCTCCTCCTTTTTTTAAAAGAGGAAAAAAGTACCATATATAGTAATTGTTTACAGGTAGAACTTTTGAGGATGAAGTGGAGCCTTTTCATTACCTTCACATGTTTGCAGATCAGGTTTGTAAACAAATCCTTTGGGGCAGGTACACGTGAAACTTCCTGGGGTGTTCCTGCATAGCCCGTTGTCACAAAGCAGCCTATTCACAGCACATTCATCGATGTCTGCAAAAATAATTAAGGTAATTCAGCAACGTCTGCAAAAATAACATGCTTCAATGGCACTAATGGGGGTGGGGTGGGGGTTTGGTTTCTCATATGAAGCTGTAAAATGAATTTCTATTTAAGGAATGTTTTTCCTTATAATATTTTGAAGGTTCCCCTCGCACATGTATGCTAGTCATTCCTGACTCCATTTCAAAGTCAGAGAGCCAGCGCTGTCCAAAGATGTCTCCGTGGTCAGGTGGCCGGCATGACTAAACGCTAAAGGCGCACGGAAGGCTGTTACCTCCCCACCAAAGGTGGTCCCTATTTTTCTACTTGCATTTTTATGTGCTTTTGAACTGCTAGGTAGGCAGAAGCTGGGACAAGTAATGGGAGCTCACTCCGTTATGTGGCACTAGGGATTCGAACTGCCGAACTGTCTTAGCCACTGAAGCCACCGCATCCCATAATAGGAATGTTTTTCCATATAATATTCTGAAGAAGGTTTTGGTTAACATCAAAGTCAATGGAAATGGAGTAAACTATCTGCAGTACAATGAGTTTCCAAACTTTCTGCCTATGGCCAGGAAAAATGGGCATTTCAAGACAGACCAAAGAGGTCACAAAGATAATCTGTGTTTCCTTCTTAAAAATATTTCCTCCCTTGAGATAAAAGGATGAAGTCGTGGGAAATCAACAGAACTAGGCAGCAGTATGTGGACCCTTCATAAAACTCCAAAGTGATTCCGTGAACCTTATATTAAGTGACAGCATATAAATATACTATATATTTCAAGAACAGATTTTATTAAGCCTGATATTTTATCTGCATGCAGCATTTTATTAACATGGCCTGCTGGGAGGCAATAAAATTGATCTCAGAGATTTGATCCAGGAGCGAAGTAGAAGGAGACACGCCAAAACTTTCTTAAAAGGCCTAGCTCAAAACTGATAATTTTTCAGCTCAAGGGGCCATAGACCATAGACCAGTGGTTCTCAATCCATGGACCACAGACCCCTGGGGGAGGCGCGATGTTGTCACAGGGGGTCCACAAAAGGCTTTAAGAAATGTTATGTTTTAAATCTTGAGTTTCAGTTCGTGGCCATGGCCTGTAGCCAGAAAAGGTATTTAAAGGCGGACCATGGTAAAGGGATAAAAATGAGAAACACGACCGTAGACTATTGGGAAGCAATAGTTGCCCGTATCCATGGCATTTCTTAAGCTACACATGCTCCCTGGGCGGTGTTAAATGTGTGATGACCAGATGCAGCCATATTACCCATTTGAGCCCCACAGCAATAGAATAGAATAGAATAGAATAGAATAGAATAGAATAGAATAGAATAGAATAGAATAGAATAGAATAGAATAGAATAGAATAGAGTACAACAGAACAGAATAGGATAGAATCTAGTCAACTAACGTTCAGTCCTCAGTTGGCACCATATATGGAATTCATATCTGTCAATAGAATTCAAGAGGTATTGGATTTAGTCAATTTGCGGGAATGTAACGACTTTAGGCTGATGACTCACTTCACTCCACCCTTAGGAGTAGAGTAAAGTAGAATAGAATAGAATAGAATAGAATTGAATAGAATAGAACAGAACAGAATAGCAGAGTTGGAAGGGACCTTAAAAGTCTTCTAGTCCAACCCCCTGCTTAGGCAGGAGAGCCTACACCATTTCAGACAAATGGATATCCAACATCTTCTTAAAACCCTCCAGTGTTGGAGCATCCACAACTTCCGGAGGCAAGTTGTTCCACTGATTAATTGTTCTAACTGTCAGGAAATTTCTCCTCAGTTCTAAGTTTCTTCTCTCCTTGATTAGTTTTGATTTAGTTTTCTTTTG